CAGCAAGTAATTAAATGGTAAATGCACACAAATGAGAAGGCTCAGGTTTTGCAAATAAGTATGCAGTAGCTCTAAGGAGCAGCATTGGATGGTCTACTGGTTTCAGCTGGGACAGAGGTAACTTTCTTAATAGCAGCTGCTATAGTGCTGTATTTTGGATTTAGGGTAAGAATAATGTTGATAACATTAATATTTTAGTTGTTGCTAAGCAGTCAAGGACTTTCAGCTTCTCATCCTGGCCTGCCAACAAGAAGACAAGGTGCACCCAGGACACGCAACCCCAGTTGACCACAGGAATATCCCATCCCATATAACACCATGCTCAGCATATAAAGCTGGGGGAAGGACAAGGAAGGAGGAAGATGTTCAGAGCAGTGCTGTTTGTCTCCCCAAGTAAAACTTACGTGTGATGGAGCCCTGCTTTCCTGGAGATGGCTGAACACCTGCCTGCTGATGGGAAGCACTGAATGAATTCCTTGTTTCCAGGCTGACCAACTCACCTGTAATGGATGAAAGTACAGGTTCTGGGTGGGACATCCCCTAGCCAACCAATCAGAAGGACCTGTTTGGTGAGGCAGAAGGGAGAGCACTCAGATCTATAACAGTATCAAAGGAAACTCACTGATTTTCCAGTCTTCATTTTCCATAACTGTTGATCATCAAGGGGCGTAATATTGGTAAGGGAACTTGAACCTCAGATGTGGTTGGAAATGTCAGAGTGAGTGAGGGTACTGACTCTAGATAAGCAAAAAGGCCATCGTTGATTGAACTTCATTTTATGTCTTGGTTTGAATATGAAACTCAATTTGTAAAAACTCTGAAACGAAAACTTCTTCATCCTCCTGTAAAGCACAGAGTGAAACCAGGGTTTCCAATCTTATCTGCTAAAACCATGACACACACAAATAGTGTAGAAGACTATCTTCTGACATGAGCTACGATAGGTATGATGACATGTTAACTGCAATAGCCAACATCTTGTGTCATGGCAGGAGCTGATATGAACTGATACCAATAGATAAAGCTTTTAAATATAGAGCTCCACTGCTCCAAAAACATGAGCAGAAACAAATGGAATTACCATGAAAAAATAAATTCCAATTTATAAAACAAAAGGCAAACAAACCAAAATGGCAATCAAACAAAATGATGCAATAGATGCTGTGTGCCCCAACACCAAACCTCTTCGACTTTGTCGTGGTGTGAATGTTACAGCTTCCCAAAGCCATTCCCTTCTTTTCAAGTTGAGAAGCGAGTCGGATCCAATGCCAAAATACCACTGCATGTTTCTGCTTATTTTTGTTGAAATAGCTAATAACTAGCTTTGAGCTTTTCTCTACCTAAAGATCCGTGAGGTACAAATCTTAGAGATAGGTGGCTTTGGGATGCCTCTCAGAATGTGAGGAGCACCTCAAGTAGGTGTGAAGGGGAAAGAATAGAAAAGCTTTTTGTGATGTGTTCAGTCCACCAACACTGTTCTAAAAAAAACCTGAAAACACAGCTGGGATTTGAATAGTTATAATCTCACTGCTTTTATCAGGGATTAGAGCTCATGTGGAGTAATATGTAAAAACCACTTGGACTATTCCCTCTTTACCTTGCTTGGGTCTGCTGTGCTGACCATAACTCTGTGTTCTTGGTGTTTCTAAGCAATGGGCAGCACGGAATTCTCTCCTCCTCTGTGGGCCAGTTGTCCAAAAGCCTGTTGTCCGTCTGTTTCCGTGCGATGCGCCTCTTGCCTCCTTAACCTAAGCAGCCAGTAAATCTGAGCCAGCAGAATCCTCACCAAAGATTGCCATTTTTCCAACAGAAGGGGCTGTCCACAGCTCCCGTGTGCTTTGTGTACCGACAAAGGTGACAAGGGGTGACACTCCCACCACCGTTGATTTGATGAACTGTTAAGCTGATTAGTTATTGCATGTGCGTACTGCAAAACTCGTTATATCTAATTTTGCCATTGCAGCATCTTATTTGCTAGCATTTGGCTCTGTCAGCTCTGCTGTCTTCTTAATTCTCTTCAAATCCATACTTAGAAAATAATGATATTAAGTTTCCTTGGTTTCTGTGTAGGAAATCAAGCTGGCTGGAAGTAGTGACTACCAAATCTTCAAAAAGTATTGCACAGTAAAACAAAATCCTGAAAGATTGACCCTTTACCTCAAAAGAATGATATTACAATGAGATGCTGTGTATCCTCGTATATGTAAAGTTAAAATTATAGTGTTGTTATAATGATGATGTTTCTGTCTATCTTGACAAAATGCAAACTCTTCTGTTCCAAGGATGGAAATAAAGTAAATGGAGTTCTGTCATCAACTGCAGTGGGGCTAGAACTGTCATAATTGTCAGAGAGAGACTCGGGAGATCTTCTACAACTTCTCTTGCTGCTTTTAATGATTTGCATTTCATGAATGCCATGGATTATCAGCAGCACACTATCTGTCTGCTTTAACTTTGATTTGGGAGCAGAAATACAAACTTCTCAGAAGTCTCGTACGGGAAGTCTTCTCTAAATGTACTAAATAAATGATTCTCTAAATCAATTGCCAAAGCAGTGCGATTCCACCAAAGTGATACAATTTATTGCCAAACTTCTCATTATGATATACTATTAAAACGTTTTCTATAAAGACACATTAGCAGAACAACTTGACTTGTTTAAAAATATATGCAGTAAGTTGACACCTTTTGGAAAGTACACACAAAAATCTCCAAACAGCAGCACTCCAAAGAGTGACAATTTAAGGCACGTGATTATTTTGCAACCTTCATTTACATAAACCTCCAGCTAGACCGTGTATTTGTAAAACGTAATCTCATGGATTTCACTAACGAGCTTTTCACAGCTCAGAGAGACAGAATTCATCCAAATACAGGCAACACTTCTATTTTTTTTTTTAACATTGCTAGGTCATAGTGCAGCACTGTCCACAGCTCCCGTGTGCTTTGTGTACCGACAAAGGTGACAAGGGGTGACACTCCCACCACCGTTGATTTGATGAACTGTTAAGCTGATTAGTTATTGCATGTGCGTACTGCAAAACTCGTTATATCTAATTTTGCCATTGCAGCATCTTATTTGCTAGCATTTGGCTCTGTCAGCTCTGCTGTCTTCTTAATTCTCTTCAAATCCATACTTAGAAAATAATGATATTAAGTTTCCTTGGTTTCTGTGTAGGAAATCAAGCTGGCTGGAAGTAGTGACTACCAAATCTTCAAAAAGTATTGCACAGTAAAACAAAATCCTGAAAGATTGACCCTTTACCTCAAAAGAATGATATTACAATGAGATGCTGTGTATCCTCGTATATGTAAAGTTAAAATTATAGTGTTGTTATAATGATGATGTTTCTGTCTATCTTGACAAAATGCAAACTCTTCTGTTCCAAGGATGGAAATAAAGTAAATGGAGTTCTGTCATCAACTGCAGTGGGGCTAGAACTGTCATAATTGTCAGAGAGAGACTCGGGAGATCTTCTACAACTTCTCTTGCTGCTTTTAATGATTTGCATTTCATGAATGCCATGGATTATCAGCAGCACACTATCTGTCTGCTTTAACTTTGATTTGGGAGCAGAAATACAAACTTCTCAGAAGTCTCGTACGGGAAGGCTTCTCTAAATGTACTAAATAAATGATTCTCTAAATCAATTGCCAAAGCAGTGCGATTCCACCAAAGTGATACAATTTATTGCCAAACTTCTCATTATGATATACTATTAAAACGTTTTCTATAAAGACACATTAGCAGAACAACTTGACTTGTTTAAAAATATACGCAGTAAGTTGACACCTTTTGGAAAGTACACACAAAAATCTCCAAACAGCAGCACTCCAAAGAGTGACAATTTAAGGCACGTGATTATTTTGCAACCTTCATTTACATAAACCTCCAGCTGGACCGTGTATTTGTAAAACGTAATCTCATGGATTTCACTAACGAGCTTTTCACAGCTCAGAGAGACAGAATTCATCCAAATACAGGCAACACTTCTTTTTTTTTTTTTAACATTGCTAGGTCATAGTGCAGCATAATAAACATTATTAAAAAGAGCCTTATCTGTGGAGCAAAATCTATAGAAAAAAAAAAACCCACATTGAATAGTTCTGTGTTTCATCTTTTTACAACAAGGTAGGCCATAGTTATTGGTTCAATAAATAGCGACTGTGGAATCTCAACTTGTCTTTCTTTAACAGAGCACATCACGTAAAAAAAGTTAAGAGACAAAGTTTTCAGCCAGGGAAAGAAGAACTGCTCTGGCCTCACCAGAGGTGAGCTGATTTACCAACTGATCATTTCAATGTCATTCACACCTTAAAAAAAAAAAAAGCTGATACGTACAGCCAGATCCTCAGCAGCTCTAAATCTGTATTGCTGTGATGGAAATCAGTGGTGCTTTGACTGATCAAAGAGTGCTGAAGAAGCAACCAGAGACTTGCACTCACAGGACATGTACTGAAATGGGAAAGTACATGGAAAGAGTATGAGGGGGGAAGGAGGACGTGGTGGTGGTTGTGGTGGTGGAAGTGAGACAGATGATGAATCTTTTTAACCTGCTTTTTGTGGTAGACATTGGGAGCAATTGCCTCGGAATAAAAAATAAGGAATTCTAATCCACTATATTCTAGCTAAGAGTATGTTCTCAGTATAGAAACTGAGGACATGAAGCTGCTTTTTCTTTTTTTCAACACATTTCAAATTGAGAAACTGTGCCAAACTAAACCTTGCTGTAGAGGCAATTATACAAGAAAACATCTTCCAGAGGCATAAGAGCTTCAAAAATTCTGCAAGCTGTTCCAGGGAAAGATCTCTTCACTACCAGAATTGTCCAATTTATCCTTCATCTGTTCAACTATGATGACACAACAAATAGACAAGGTATAAGGCCTTTGACAGAAAATGGAGAGTTAAGCCCTTTGTATATAGTGTCTTTTCTGTTTCTTCTGTTCTTAAAAATGGCATAAATGTTCCTCTGTGTTTTGCAAAAGGATCTCTTCACTACCAGAATTGTCCAATTTATCCTTCATCTGTTCAACTATGATGACACAACAAATAGACAAGGTATAAGGCCTTTGACAGAAAATGGAGAGTTAAGCCCTTTGTATATAGTGTCTTTTCCATTTCTTCTGTTCTTAAAAATGGCATAATGTTCCTCTGTGTTTTGCAAAATCTCCTACAACCCACAGCCCTCTCAAGAAGCACGCAGGATCCTGCTGATGTTTCACAGAGACTGCTGTATTTGTAAACACCACGGTTGTCTACTGACCCTCTCCTGTTTAGCATAAAAGCATACAAGAACATCAAAATCTTCTATCCTGTGATTTGCAAAATTGCCCACTCCTGTGTGTGCAACACTCATCTGATGAAAACTCCCACCTGCTGCCGAGTTACAAATGTTTTCTTGAGGTAGCCTGTACACAAATAGATGAAGAATGCTCTAAGAAGCATGCAGAAAACAGTCCAGGGTGTGGTGGTTCTTCACAGAAACGACCTCTGTACAAGAGCAATAAGAAATGAGAAGTTTGATTTCCAAGCCAGCCCCTGAGGAGCATCTTGCCAGCTTCGGTGCTGGTCCTTCAGCGTTGTGCTCTGAGACTGGAGGTTGGGTTTTGGCACGTTGCACTTTACCTGCGCTGATATTTGGGGTCAGTCCTGGCTCTGTTATGCCAGTGACTAAAATACTTGTTGCAATTATAAATATCTGGAACGGCGTTAATAGGCTCTACTTCATCGAAACGGTGTGTTCGTATGGACTCAGTTCACACAAAACTGTATTTACATTATTGAATTATAAAATTAGCATCTCTACTGGTGACAGCCTTAATTCTCATGACCCTCGTTAACAATTAGTTCTGCAGGATGAAGTTTCCCCATTAAGGAACAGATTTGAATCAGGGCCCAAGATGATGGCAAACAGGCAGCTGCTTGTGGGTTGACATCAAAAGAACCAGCACTCTGGATCCAGTCTCTAAAGGTATATGTCATGCTTCTGCCTAGGTTTGTAGATGACACTTGCTATCGTATCTCTGCAATTGGCCTAACAGGCAGCTTTAACAAAGAGGACGAAGATAGAAAAAAAGAGGTGGGCAGGAATTTTCACACATTGCTCCGCTCTTTCTGGGTGTCTGGGTAAATCTCAAATTTGAGGTCTGACACGGAATCACCTAGAACCTGGTCAAAATCTGGGTGGGTTGAGTGAAACAACCACTAATCCCTATAGATGAAGTAAAATTTACGAAACAAAGCCTCTGTCAGATCCAGTCTTAAGCAGTTCAGATACTTCCCTGAAGGTGATTTAGCTCATTTACAAATGGTTTACACTGATACCAAAAAGAAATAAGGTATGCATCAGGATCTCAGAAGCTTCTAAGCACTCATTGATGTCACAGAACCTTTGCACCTTACACCACTGAAGATTTCAAGCCAAAATTTCAGGACTGGAACCATCCAACACAAAATACAGACAGGCCAGAGGACTCTAAGCCAGCACGTAGCACTGTACCTCCACAAGAGATCTCAAGAGTTTTCACTTTTCAGTCTTTAGCTGAGTTGGCTTTTGTTGATGTCTCCGGCCGCCTTCGAGGTGATGTAGATCAGATTCATATGCAACAGGCATCTAGTGCAACCTTAACTACCATCATTTAACAGAAAACTGGGGACAAAAAACCCAAAGGAGGCTCCTAACACAAACAGGTATGTACATACACAGTAGCCCAACTACCTCGGTGCTTTGAACCATCAACATCCTGAGTCATTGTGGCACTTGAACCATGTGGCAAAACACAGGATAAGCATCTGAGAGACCATTGTCCTGATCAGCTAGTCAAAATGATACATAAATTAACAAGATAATCTAACAAGAGTATTTGGAAGGTGTCTTCCAAAGCAGCAGCAAAAATGACAAATATTTACGCTTCTGTCTGAGTGAAGCTATTTAAAATAGAGCAGCTTAATTAAGAATGAGAAAGGAGTTGCTTGTGACCACACAAACTAAAATTCTGAGCTAATTCTGGATGTTCTTTCATTCCAGTGCTACTGAGTAGAGGAAATGAAGGTGAAGGAAGGAAATGGCCTTCCTGGCACCCTTGATTAAATTTCAAGGTGCTAGGACTTTCCTCTCCCTGGAAAGTTTTCCACCAGAGTCAATATCCCACAATTACTCAGTGATACAAATATTCAAGAGCAGGAAGATAATTTTCTTTAGCTTGCACTTATAAAAGGCACTGATCCATTTCAATCCGAGTAGACTTAGCAGGCAAGAGGCTAACCATTGGCTTCTCCTACATTCATTTCATACCCCATAAATATTGAATTCCATTACTGAAGCAGCAAATGCAGCCTATTTCTTTAAATGTATTTGTGGCGTAATGGCGTAATAAACCATTTCCATGTAAAAAAATCCACCAAGGATTTGCCATTTGAAAAGATTCTTGGTTTAGCCTTCCCAAAAATAGTGTTGAATTTTTGTAACAGTCTACACGAAAAAAAATACCAAGGAGGCGTATTTCTCCTTTACTATGAACCCTTTCATTATGAATGAGAACTCAAAAAAATCTAAGTGCAGCAGAAAAGCTCCAGTGTTTCTGACGTTACGGGACCCCCGTTCCCTTCCCATCTGAAACCCTTCTAGAGCAGACCCCGTGATGCGATAAGTTGCTCTCTTATTTTTTACAGAAGCCCTTTGTTCTCTCATCTTCTCTTTTCCAACAAGTCCTGGCTTACAACTGTGTTTCCTCTTGTTCCAAAGAATGTGGAGGGACGTGGCAAGAGGCGGGAAGAGACGCGAGTTTCTGAAGCTTCGGGTGTTGCAGAGGTTTTGGCCTGTGAAAAGAACGTCGGCTTTGGACGCGTCTGGCTGCAGCGGATCTGTAGTTTCCTTGTACATCAAGCAACATTTTCTTCTCTTGGGGCTCCTTCATATAAGAGTCTTCCAGCCCTTCAAATATAAGGAGAGAATTCTCTTCTTGTGAATTCTCGGACTTGTAGCTGACTTCAGAACCATAACCTGAGTTGACTGTCTCTTTGTTATTCGTATCTGTATCTGCTTCCCAGAAGAGATCAGGTACATTTGGGTCACAAGAAGCAATATACTCAGAGACAGAAGAAAGAGAGATATTCCCTCTGTTTTCCAATGAAGAATAGTTTTGTGTCCAAGGCATTTGAAGACAAGATGGAAAGAAGTGGAGGGGAGTCATTGAAACACTTTGGTTTTGGTTTAGTTGGTCATCTGAAGAGGAGTATTCTGTCATTTCAACGTCATGGTCCATGTCACCTAGAGAGCACAATTAAATAGAAACATTTGTAATATATACTCTCTGTACTGGCATGCTGGCTATTGGGCTTTGCTTTTGGCTATTTTTCTGAAAGTCTTATGAAAATGAGTGGTTTAAGATGGCTTTTTTTGCTAGGGAACTGTACCCTTTCCCAATTTCTATCTTGGACAACCTAAAGTGAGTTTATTAAACTTCTTATCCTCGCTGAGTATCAGGTAAAACTTAGTTCAGTGTTTGTGATGAACCAACTGCCTGTTTCATATATTTAGGAGACAGAGCCATCGTCTGGTCATTAAGATGTATCTTTATCTTGAAACATGTAGTCCTGATGCTCAGCAAGGAAATCTTTCAGAAGCTTTTGAAAGAAACTGTATTCTTTGAACCCAATAGCACAAGGTATCACCAGGGAGTCAATTCCTTATTGGCTGAAGCCTCTGGTCAGTTTTCTGCATACTTTAGACTATGTAGAGAAACTTCACATTTCCACCCCTGGTTTCCAGTTTAAATGGGTTTTTAAAGCCTTTTAATTGAAATTTCAATATCATACTCCTATTAGGAGAATTTTGTTAAGATCATTCAGAGGAACACTTCAGAGAGTAATCAAGTTCTAAGCTTATTAGCTTGGGAAATCTAACTTCCCAAAACACTTCTTAAGAAACACAGCTGTCAAAACCCAGTGATTTTGATACATCAAAGATACTTGCACAAAAACTTATACAAACCATTTCCTAATAATAAAGTCAATTATAAATAAGGCAGTAGAATGGAGGAAAAGAACAAGGGTTAGCAAGAAAATATTCAGCTAAGTTATATGCCACTATTTTATGATCTTAGTGGAAAAAGTGGAGAGAATTTCAATGTGGATAAGTGTCAAGAAGTTTTCCTTTTGGAATGCTGCTCATTATTCAAATTTTTGATCAGGATATTGGGATTAAATTCACAGTTCTTTAATTAATCCGGTATTCCTTTTAAAGCATCATTTAAAAAATAATCAAAGCTGCATTAATAAGGAACTGAGTACTAGAACCAACCCCAGACCTACAGGACACTCCTGTAAAGAGAGTGATGTGCTTCCTGTAATTACAGGTGAACCAGCACATCTTCTGCAGAGACAGGAGCCAGAACGGAAGAAAACCAGAACTTCCTGTTCTATTTCTTTTCCAAAGGGTATGAAGTTCTTCTCAAATCAAAATTATCAACCTTTACTCTTATCCTGAGGTCTGTGTCTGAACAAAGTTTCACCAGCTACCTACAGAATTACTTTCAACTTCCCACATGTCTTTATTTGGTGATGCACAGAGGACACGAGGTCACACAATTGTGATCACAGATTCCATAAAAACAAATTCCCGATGAAACTGATTATTGCATTTCATTGCATAATCCCCACAGTGCCCTATGTTCTACTCAATTATGGTGGCTGAACTGTGATCTGACCCACCTCATTTACAGCACTGATTGTGTTGATTATAGAAGTGAAGGCTGCTTTTTATGGTGTGGAAAATTTCCACAAAGTGAGAATTAAAAGCCAACTAGTCTAACTCATTTAAACCCAGAGTCAGTTTGAATTTTTTGCCTCTAAGACATTAGAAGCAACAAGTTATTTACTGCATTAGAAATCTAAGCGCTTTTCTGGTTTCAAAATTAGGTCTGCATTAAGATAAACTTACAGTTTGAGGATAAAGCTCTAACCCAAACTGGAATTCTGCTTTTCCACAGTCTGGCTGTTGTGTAAATATCTCTACTTCTGCAAGGGAACTCTGATGCATTCTTGCAAACACGCTACGTTTTTAAAGTCTTTCTTATGTAATTTAATGATGACATCAGCAGTGTCAGTCAGTACTTGTAGCAGTGACACCATTTTCCTTTCCTGGGCACTAGATAAATAACCTGGACAAATATTCAGAGCTGACTCAAGGCTTCTTAGCAGTAGAGTCAAAAATCATATTTGAATCATGCTAAGAATGAGAGACAGCCCAGATGGTTGCTGCTCTAGCCCTGCTGCTCTTACTGTACGTCCGAATGCAATTGAGCCAGGTTGGTTAAATGACTCATCCCAGTTTTTATGGGCAAAATATAGGCAAAAATATCCTTTGACATCAGCCACTGGACTGTCTGAGGATTCAGACTGCTTTGCTTACATCTGCAGACAGTGGTGATAATGTCACACAAAAAGACCTATCACTGATAAGGGGGTTGAATCAGAATTACCTGATTCCTATAAGGGAATTCAGGTACAAGTTTTGTCACCTAGAACTGACTAACTAATAAGCCTGGAGCCTCTTGAAAATGGGTGCCCAATATTCTGGTATTTAGAATACTATTTTCTTAGCATGTAAAGTATTCAAGGCAAAACAAAGAGCAGGACCATTATCTGCTGTAAAAATAGCAAGTCATTGGACCCCAAATAGTTGGACAACTCTTCTGCAAAAGGAAGGTAGAAAGATGTTTTGTTATTCAAGCTGGAGAAAAACAGAAGATGTTTAGTTGCACGAAGAAGTCAGGAAGGAAAGAGATGCTCTGGAGAAGAAAAATCAGAAAAGTAAGTTTACTTGTCAGTAGTCAGGGTCGATAGGAAGGCTGATTAAAAATAAAGGTAATAATATTCTTTAAAATATTACATATGTGTTGATTCTGGGAGAAAAGATCTGGGTCTGTCCTCTGGGCCATCTGCGAGCAGGAAGGAATCTACCGATTTGTTGCTGAGGCGGAACGGAGTGAGGCGTCGGAAGTTGTTTGGAGAATAGGGGATCTGCACGCGGGCCCTTTGGGATGGCACCACGGTATCTTCACTGGACAACCACGGAGAGAACTTCATGTAGATGCTTTGATCGTCATCGGTTGAAAATACCGGGTTATCGATTCCTAAAAAAAAAAGTTCACGAGCGACAAATATTAATTAATCAAAATCATTTCCTGGTAATACAGTAAGATGCTCTGTGAAAGGAGAGTGGCTACAGGGGGAAAACACAGGCTGAGACGTGCTGGTAGAGCTGTGATGAGGCCAATTCCCAGACCATTATACACACATGGGGTGCTCTTTCTGCTTTGGCTATTGCCAGTCATTTTGGATTTCTATTGAAGAGAAAAATTGGCTATTATATCCAATACGCAGTTATGGTTGGGATATCTGGAGACAAAAAAATAAAACTAATGAAAGAAGAAATCAGTCGGCAAATGTTAGGCAAAATAAAGCACGGCATAAAACAGCTGCAGAAAATTCAAGTCAAACGCGTTAAAAAGAAAAAAATTATGGAAAAAAATGCACAAGCATAAACTGCACAACTCCATAAAGGGAGGGAACTAAGGCAGGCCACAAAACAGTAAAAAGTAAGGAGCCTTTTAACATAGAAACCTATTCTGTAGTGTTTAATAAGGGAGGGAACTAAGGCAGGCCACAAAACACTAACAAGTAAGCTACAGGAGCCTTTTAACATAGATACCTAACTTGTAGTGTTTAAACAGAAAAAGAAATTTTAAAGATGAGTCTAGGTCTCATCTTGCCACCTGCTTGTTTCTGGATCAATTTCTGGATGTCATTATACATTCTGAAACAGGGAATTTGTCACGAAACAGCAAAAAGGCTATTCCAGCATGTCTGCCAAAAGAAAAACAAAAGTGTTTTTCTGTGCTGTATGCAGAATGTTACACACGAAGCACGCAGTGGCAAGCTCAGAATTCAAACACAAAATTGCTAAAGAGAAACACTTTAGAACTTCATAAATCATATCATTTAATATATAGTGATACACTTTCCATCTGATATTTTGGAGCCTTTCAGGGCTGGAAATCAAATGCAATGAATGCTCCAGGAACGCTGCAAATGTGCCCTTTTCAGTGACTCTTATGAGCCTGTAAAGAACTGAGAGAGTTGTGAATTTAAGAGGAGAAATCTGGACTGAAAGAAGCATGAAATTCATCACAACAAAGTGCTTCAAATGCAAGAAGAAAACAGTTCCAAAGGACTGGTATTGGCTGGTGGTGTGAGGTAGAACAGTTCTAAAATAACATTTGCTGTTGCTAGAAATAATTAGTGGGTTTAGGTCTGGTTTAGGCAGTCATGCTCACAACTTCTATCAGTAGCAAATTAGATGCTCTCCGTGCCTCTGGATAGCCAGAACTTTTTATCTGTTCACAATTATATTAAGCAAATATATTTTCTAATAGAACACATCAAATAAAAAACAAAACAAAACCACACACACACTAGAAAAACCCAACCAGGCTAACTTATTTGCATTTCTAGTGTTTTTTTTAACATTTGAGAAAAAAAAACAAAACCAAGCATCTCTCTAGATAATTAATATTTTTACCATTGGGAGTATCTGTGAAATTTTGCTTCGTCACATTAGCCAGGAAATCAACTCCTTTGCCTAGATGCAAAGTTTCATAGTCATTATTTTCTTCTGATTCAGAAAACTCCAAATCTGGAAAAAAAAAAAAAAAGTCAGTCCAATTTGATTAGAGATTTGTACCCGTTCTGACAGGAAGTGCCATTTTATGCTGGTTTGCTGCTGGCATAGATTTCATAGATTTCACACTCTGGCTAAGCTTTTGGCTATCAGAATTGTCATCTCTCCTGGGACTGGAACAACCCATGCTATGATGTGACACCATTGCTGCTGCTCCTGGTTTGTGTCTTCAATGCTCACGTGTTGACAAATGTTGTCCCTTACCATGATCAGTGGGTTAATCATTTGACATTAGTGTCCTGATTTCAGACCTGGTGAGGTCATTGCTGCTTCTACTGCAGTAGAACCAGTTTTACGACAGCTGCTAAACCACTTGTTAAGATTAAGATTGTCACCCAATGAAGCTTTTTTTTTTTTTTTAAGTAGAGGATGACATCTATACACAGTGGTTTTTTAACAAGAATTACCTCCTTAGAACTATTTGGAAAGCTCTTCTCATGCAAAAAAGTTCTAGAGTATCACACTTACTCAGCCAGCCTGTAGGCCCCTGCCAGTCAAATAAAAATAATGCTAAGAAAATGATTCAAAGAACATACATAAAGAAAAATATCTTTGCTTGGAGCTATTGAGAAAAGATCACAGAATCATAGAATGGTTTGGGTTGGAAGGGACCTTAAAGATCATCGAGTTCCAACCCCCTGCCCTGGGCAGGGACACCTCCCACTAGAGCAGGTGAATCCCTCTCTATTTAAATTCAATTCTTTTTCAGATCAAAGGATTACATGCATAAAAAGAGGAAAGAATAGGGGAAAAAAAAAAAAAAAGAAAAGAGTTAGTTCAGTGGCTTTTAAACCACATTTCAGTTTTTAAGTGATATGTATTATTTTATAATTGCATAACAAACATATTAGCATCCATTAAGTCTTGCTATGACATGAATGACAAAAGATGGCTAAAACATGAGAGGAAGGAATTTGGGGCTTTCCATGCAAAGCCAACTTGTGGTAAGGAAGTTCCCTGGGCCAGTCAGCTTCAGGTTGCACTTCCAAGGCTTAACCATGTGTGAAATTTGTGCATGAAGGGTGAATCAGTGCTGAAACTGGCCTCTGACTTTCAAAGCCACACTGTTGCTGAGTTCTAACGTGCTTGCTTAGCCTCAGCCCTTCTAAACCAATGGACCTGAACTCAGACCAGCACGTTATCTCAACTGCTTCATTTGACATGGCACGGTGTCCCAGGTAGGAATACCCTGCTGTGATGAAAAAGAAAAATGCTAGCAAAAGTTGCTCTGTGCAACTTCTCCAAAAGGAACCTGAAAGTTCATAGATATGCTGTAGCCACTGCATTATTTTGTTTACAAAATTTAAATGCAATATTTTAAAAATGTGAGGAAGATGGCCAATTAAAATTTGGCCTAGAAAATAACTTCTAAATCATCAAGACCCTGCATTTATGCATGGAGCAGATCCCCACTCTGAGTTCTGAATTATGACTAGAAGTCCCTTTTGAATACCAGCTTCAATGTTGCATATCACAAAATTTTTCAGTGATGCTTTACTGACAATGTAAATGAAATTGGCCTAAGAGTCTTTTTACCTTTTTCCTTCAAAGTAAAATCTTGTAGTGGGTTTTCTGAAGGTATTTTGCCATTTGGTATGACACTGCTGTTTCGCTGAAAGAAAACAAAACCAAGTTACCAAAAGTGCTGGCACCATCAGAGAGCAATGGCAGTGACACCCTTCGGAATCACGAGTTCAGCAGCACAACCCTGAAATCCACTGCAATCTTTGCTTGAAACTCAATATGGATGGCATTAGTTTCCCCCTATGCTCATAGGCACCGCAGGAAAAGAAAGGAATTTTGGCTCTTTGTACGTTCCCTCTTAGTTTCATATGAGTTTTGCAGAATGCTCTATGCCTCAGTGCCACCCTGCTACGCCTACCCTGCAGCATCTCCCCACAGGGTTGTAGCATGGCTCAAGGTCTGTTGTTTTTCAAGTGATCAAAAATCTCTCACCCAGAAGAAGAGTCCCAGAGCAAAGAGAAAAGCAGGATGTGAGAAGATGCCCCCTGAGTTACCTCATAGTTTAATCTCTTCTTGCTTAGTCCCTTTAAGTTCATGATGTTCTAAAGGACAGAGAGAAATCCAGGACATAGGAGCCTTCAGAGTCCTCCCTGCCCTCCCCATCCCTTATTTTGTGTAATAGGTGGCTACATCTGGGTCCTTGTGAAAGTATTTTACCCTTTTTTGGCCCCGGTCTCGCTTGTGGATTTTACTGAGCTTCTTGGAATGGTTTATTCCTAGTTTGGTACTCTTGAAAGATTCTAAGCGCTTCCTCATTGTCCTATGGAAAATCTCCTTGTCTTGTTTGTCATCTTCACTGTTCATGATCTCATGTCGACTGTACAGGTGTTTGTGCTGTGGCCAGGAAGGGAAGACAATATTCATTTATTTAGAAATACAGCTGGAAGCCCTGAATCAATGCAGTCAGTGTAATGCAAATGTAAACAATTCCATAAAAAAAGAATGACCCAAAGACTAGCCAGAAGGCATTAATGAAACTCCTGGTTTTCTTTCTCTTCCTTCACTATAAAACAGGTATAAGTCCAGGAATTTTAGGTATGTAAGAGTGACTGTCATTCAAAGTAAGCCTCTCCCTGTAAGGGTTTGAATCACTTCAGTTGACACACTCCATTTAATCCTGCTTCAGGACCTATGTTGGACCTGGTTCACACTCCATTTAATCCTGCTTCAGGACCTATATTGGACCCGGTTCTGCATTGCATTCCACTGGCCCCAGTGAAGTCAAAGGCACTAGTTCTGTTAAAAAGACATGGTCATAGACCCTGTCTTCCTCAAGGTGCAGATTTCACAGAGGGGTTAGAACCACAGAATAGTTAGAGTTGGAAGGGACCTTAAAGATCATCCAGTTCCAACCCCCTGCCCTGGGCAGGGACACCTCCCACCAGACCAGGTTGCTCCAAGCCCCATCCAGCCTGGCCTTGAACCCCTCCAGGGATGGGGCAGCCACAGCTTCTCTGGGCAACCTGTTCCCATGTCTCACCACCCTCACAGGAAAGAATTTCTTCCTGAGATCTAATCTGAATCTCCCCTCTTTCAGTTTAAAACCATTACCCCTCATCCTATCACTCGAATCCCTGATAAAGAGTCCCTCCCCAGCTCTCCTGTAGCCCCTTCAGGTACTGGAAGGCTGCTATAAGGTCTCCCCGGAGCCTTCTCTTCTCCAGGCTGAACAACCCCAGCTCTCCCAGCCTGTCCTCATAGCAGAGGTGCTCCAGCCCTCTGAACATCTTTGTGGCCCTCCGCTGGACTCGCTCCAACAGGTCCATGTCCTTCTTATGCTGAGGACTCCAGAGCTGGACGCAGTACTCCAGGTTGGGTCTCACCACAGCAGAGTAGAGGGGCAGAATCACCTCCCTCGAGGTTCTTTCGAGTTTTGCTCCTAAGTTTTTTCCAGCCCTCTGAACATCTTTGTGGCCCTCCACTGGACTCGCTCCAAAAGGTCCGTGTCCTTCTTATGCTGAGGACTCCAGAGCTGGACGCAGTACTCCAGGTTGGGTCTCACCACAGCAGAGTAGAGGGGCAGAATCACCTGCCTCGAGGTTCTTTCCTTTTGAGTTTTGCTCCCAAGTTTTGGTTCCCAATGTCTCCTAGTTTTAGATTAGAAAACAGTCTAATGCTAGGCTTCTGCTCTCACCTCTTGCCTGGGTTTATACAGGTACTGCTGTAGGGTGTGATGAGCAACTGTGTCTTCTGTGTCCCGGATGCTTTTCCTCCTCTGCTCTAAAGCTTGCATGTCAAGGCAAACTGGCCCAGCTTTTTCTCTCCTGAAGGAGAATACAATATACAAACAGCAGTGTTTAAAATCAGTGATTGCTGAAGAGGAAGAAAAAAAACCAGGAAAATAGGGAACAAGAGGGAGAAATCAAGATGAAGTCTAAAAAAGAAAGGAAAGGTCAAAATCAGCTGGATGAAAATGAGTGAGCAAATACCTAATGGGAAATGCGAAGAAAAGTATTGATTTTTGTCTTTCAGGTTAATTACTTCCAGCATTAATTTCTCAGTTTATATGACATGGTCTGTCAGGTGAAAGAACTCATGGAAGAGTTAAGGAAGGAGAAATGTTTTTTCCTTGCCTCTCTCCTGACTTTTTCTGGAGCAGACACAGAAATGGCATCTAGCCCTGTCTATAGCAGTTGATGAACATAAGGCACATGGAGCAACTCTAACGTGGATGTCTGCTTCATCTGAGCAGTCCTTAACTGCAAAAATCCATTTGTGTGTAAAATGCACCAATATAACTGTATGTTGCAACAGTATGACTATGTATATCCATCTTATGTGAGAGAAAGGAGTAACTGAAGTTCAAACCAGCAGTGACTGAAGCCCCTGTAATTTACATTTTTCAAAATTTTTAACACAGTTTCCCTTTCCTCAGGTATAACATAAGCACCCCAGTGCCCCCCAGTCAGTCCACGTTACTTACAGTAAGTAAGAGACAGAGCTTTCCACAGTACTTGGGAGTGGGGTGCTGAAGTCCACGTTTACCATGTTGTCTGTACTTGGAGAACGGATAAATGCCAAGGAACCTCTACGTTCTCCCTGGCCACAGAAAGAAACAAGACATGTTACAGCTGTAAATACCAAGGGCAAAATATTTATCAGAAAAAGCAGATACTTTGTGAAGCTGCTGTATGCAAATGACACAAGAAGCAGGGGAGAAGCTGTATTTAGATAATGAATACAAACTATTTTTTTGTTATGGTTTCTTTACATTGAGTGACGTTTTCCCAATGATCAAAGCTAGGAGAAGAATTATTCCACTCTTGTAAATTAATTTTGAGGAGTGATTTCTTAGGCCTTAATCTTAGGCAAATGATATCCCTGCACTTCTGCAGCCTGTTTTGTCTTCACAGACCCTTCCAGGAGTGGACCTTTCACTTTGTACCACACTGCAATATCTCTGGGGATTTTTAGGACTCGACACATCATTGCACTAAGACTAGTGTTTTCTAAGATACAGCACTAAGTTTTCTGTTCTCTGCCAGACTGGAGGCAGCAAATGTAAGGTGGTGCCAGAAGTCTAAAAGCCAATTTGAAAGAGGTTAAAGCATGAAGAGATGAGATTTGCTTTCAGTTCTAAAACTAGTGCTACAGAAGTGACACTGGAAAAGCTCAGATTGTCTTCACAGTTTTCCCCACTTCTCATGTCATCTCTTGTTTAGGTGAAAGGCAGCTGTTGAGTGACATCAATGGTTACATAGGCTGCACCCTTCTCTGGTTCTGAATCACAGCAGAGAGAAATCACAGCAGGACTCTGACTGTGACAAAGAATACACCAAGAAAAACCCCCTCCCTTGCAGAATATTGAAATTGATTTTACATTTCTCCAACTTCAGTTGCAGTGTGTCCCCTTTACATTTTTATACTAATATAGCAAATAAATCAAATATTTCCTTTTGCTGTGGTAGCCCACATACATGTTACAGTAGAAAGCACTGGATCAAATCAGTGGCATTAGGAAGTACACTCTGACCTCTCTAGGCAGAAAACTGAAGAGATAAAAAGTAAATTCTGGGTCAGGATCAGTCCATTTTCTTATGTGCATCTGACTTTCTTTTCAATCAAATTTAATGTTTCATACATACATCATACTATATCATCAGTGGGGGAATTTTAGCACGAAGAACTTATTAACTGTACGTATTTTAAGTTGCTTCTATTCCCTTGCTCTGGATTATTTTCATTTTGCCTGGATTAGGCTCTCCCCTCTCAACTGTAAGGAATTTATTTAGGTTCAGACTGAGCTCTCTCAAGCTCTTGTTTATTGTACAGATGCAGCATAACAGTAGAGCTGGAAAAATAAAAAAAAAATATAAAATAGCTTTTAAACTCTTCAGTTTCCTGCAAGTGACAAAAGAGTGAGTATCTGGGGGAGGCAGGTCTTTACTCCTCCTGGAAGAATTGGCTTCAATTTCAATGTAAGCTTGTAATTCACAGATATTTTGCTCAAAGATATATTTCAGAAGTGAAGGAGAATTTGTTATAACAGCGCATCACTGAAGCAAAAATGTTAACTTGAGAAAAGTGGAATGACTTTAGGATTCACAGCTCACAACTAATCAGACATATTAAGATAACTAATTTCCACTGGAAGAAACCACGTTGCAAATCTTTTGTAGAACCTAGGCAACTTTTAATTTCTTTGTCTATTATCAGCAGCCCAGGAAACATTTGCCAATAGAATTTGGCCACAAGACACAATATACACAATAGCATTTGGACTAAGGTAGCAAAAGTCCATTTGCTTGTGTTATGAACTGTACTAAGGTGTAATGAAAAAGGTGACTCTCCTAAAAAATTAATAATCTAACTTAATCTGACATTACTATATGGGATTCAAGACATTACTGGATAAAGATTTTGAGGCTAAATCTGCATGGCTTAGTTATCTATAGAGCCCTTTGCATCTGTTGAAGAGGAAAAATGCTGTAATGAATCTACTGAACAGATCCAGCTCATCAATTTCAAAGTCACTGTCTAACTTTCTTCCTCTGAGTTGGAACCCAGAAACCACCACAAGAAAGAAAACTAGTTCTTGAGCTCAAATGATCTGAAAAACTGAAAGGGTAATTTACAAAATCTCAAAAGAAAGTATTTGCTTATCTTGTGAACCACTCCTCATTTTTCACACTAACATAATTTCTGAATTTCCTCTTATTTTCTGAATTCAGTCTTTGAAATTCCATGTTTCACTGAAAGAAGTCTGCCTAACATAATTTCTGAATTTCCTCTTATTTTCTGAATTCAGTCTTTGAAATTCCATGTTTCACTGGAAGAAGTCTGCCTGGCTGTAGCTCATTTTCAAAAAAGGAAAGAGATTAGTATCAGTCATAGTAATATCAATCACAGTAATAGCGTTTATTTTAACTAAAGAAATTAACCTGTATATCATGTAGCTGTGAAAATGAGTTCACTTGGAGATTACAGGCATAGATAGGTCACTTTAAAGATTACTGTTTATAATATTTCATTTTAAACTAGCCTCTACACTGTACGAATACAGCATATTGGTGGTCATTTGAACTGAGGTGGCCGGTTCCACACTGAAAAAGGTTAGGAATTCTTAAACTCTTAACACTGCTCCAGACTGAGAATGGTACAGATGCAGAAAGCCAGTAACTGTCTTCCATTCTGTAACTTCATCAGAATGAGATTATAGCGGCCCACTGCTTTGGTCATATACCCACACCACTTGAAAGTGAGCTCTGTCGATACATTTAGAAAGACAGTAGTTTGGCTGATCCCTTTGGAATTAAAGGAGTTTTTCTTCATGCAATGAACATAGAAACGAAGTCATTCAGTGAAATCCAACAGAAAAGTACACTGATATGAGTACAATGTATTCATACTTGGGGATAAGGCATAACACTGAGAACTACAGCCACTCAAACGGGTGATACTGAGACACACCTAGCAGTAGTATCAGTCATACTAATATCAATCATAGTAATAGCGTTTATTTTAGCTAAAGAAATTAACCTGTATATCATGTAGCTGTGAAAATGAGTTCACTTGGAGATTACAGGCATAGATAGGTCATCACTTTAAAGATTACTGTTTATAATATTTCATTTTAAACTAGCCTCTACACTGTACGAATGCTGCATATTGGTGGTCATTTGAACTGAGATGGCCAGTTCCACACTGAAAAAGGTTAGGAATTCTTAAACAAACTCTTAACACTGCTCCAGACTGAGAATGGTACAGATGCAGAAAGCCAGTAACTGTCTTCCATTCTGTAACTTCATCAGAATGAGATTATAGCGGCCCACTGCTTTGGTCATATACCCACACCACTTGAAAGTGAGCTCTGTCGATACATTTAGAAAGACAGTAGTTTGGCTGATCCCTTTGGAATTAAAGGAGTTTTTCTTCATGCAATGAACATAGAAACGAAGTCATTCAGTGAAATCCAACAGAAAAGTACACTGACATAAGTACAATGTATTCATACTTGGGCATAAGGCATAATACTGAGAACTACAGCCACTCAAACAGGTGATACTGAGACACACTGAGACTCAAAACACGTTTAGAACAAAAAGCAGAGAAGAAATGAAAATAGTTTTCTTTTAGACATCTCCTGCAACATATCAACTTTATATTATAAATTAAAAACAAACAAACAAACACACACCAAAAAACCCCCCAAACAAACCAAACCCCAAACTATGCTATAATATGCCAACAAGTGTTCATAAGTACCTCAGCCACATAGCTAATTGCATCCTTCAAGTTGAGTTCATGGAAAACATTAAGGATCTGGTCTCTTGATTTTTGAGCAGACCTTCTCATCAGTACTTTACTGAGGAATTTCCTATCAAAATTGGTCCACCTGATAATTTAAACAAACTGTGTTAATGGCAACAAGCAATTTTAGTTTCACAGCATTTTTAGTTTAGCATAAATGATATTTTTGTGAGCTAAGCACTTTAAAAAAAAAATGGTGAACACAGCAATGTGAGGGATTTGTGTTTTGAAGCTTTTCAATTAGCATTTTAAGAAAGTTAAGGAAAAGCCTGCTACAGAGCTATGCAGTTGTCACAAAGCATTTAATAGGTTAACTTACCAAACACTACTACAACAGCAAGAGTGCTATGATTACAGTATCTCATTTCAGAGTCACTAGGACATTTTATACTCCTGCAGATCACCCTACCTTATTTTTCCACTTATGATTATGCATTGTTATATTTAATAGCTTCATTCTAAAAGTTTAATTTTCTTTCCCCCTTTGGAATGGAATCTGCTTTTCCCTATTTGTATTGTAGGACAGCCAGCCTAGAAAATCAGTTCACAACAGCAGTGACCTTCCAAAAGCACTTACAGAGGGCCTTATTGTTGCCATGTATGTGCTCTGGGGGATAGAATTGATGTATATTTTCTGTGATTTGCACTTCCAAGCTTATCTGATAGTAGGATATCTGCTGTCTGGTATTTAGGCTCCAGAAGATAAAGGCTGCTTTACTTTCATCTACCTCCCTCAATATTTTCTTGAGGCAACTTTGGAGACTGATATTCAAAGTGATTTTATCCCTCTTGCTCAATGGCTATTTTGAGTTTCTGACTTTTTATTCTGATTGTTGAAGCCTTTCTGTTGCTAAACATTATTCACAGAATTGATAACTATTCCTCTTCTCCAGACAGAACATCTGACGACGGCGGTCTCTAATTCATGCTGTCACACCTGAGCACATCAGTGAGGATGATAAGGGCTGCCATTTCTTTGAAGAAGCAGCATTTTCAGGTACATATAGTCCAAAAGAAGCAGACTTAAGGTGATCTCATTCAAAATATATTAGTCACCAAACCACACACTCAACCATGAATCTACATTAAGCTACTCCTTCTCCTGTTACACAGGGAGATTACTTTCTAACATCCAAGAAGTCAAACTCTAATCTGCCACTTTAAAAATATTTGGCTCCATCTTCAAGACAGTATTTCAAAGCTGGGGATGTATCCCCTGTAGCCTGCTGAAATTCATTGCCAGAAAGTAAACTAGAAATTTAGACCAAAAGAATGAGGATGTTCTATTTGGGATGCATCGCGAAAATTCTTCACTGAATAAATGAACAAAGAGCAAAAGGAAATGAAGGAGCCTGTCCCTGTGAGCAGGGGCAAAAGGTGAGCAATTCTGCTTGATCCCAGATACAATCTAGCTCCAGCTTGGGATTCGTATAGTTATATGAGCATGAAGCTAAACCTCAGCTAATACACTCAGCTTCTCAGCAGGGGTTAGTGGAGTGCTCTGCAGAAAGCTAATGCAACCACAGGGCTTTTGGTTTGGAGTTGGCATGTTGAGTCAGCAGGACAGTAGCAGGTCAGAACTGTGACTGCACCTATGAAATGACCTAACTCCAGGGAGAGAAGTGCCTAACCTTAACCCTCTAAAAGATGTCCAGATTTAATGTCCCTTTTTCACATTTATTAATCTAGATCACGGAAGTCAGCCCATTGCAATGGTAACTCTTCACACGTACTTCAAAGCAAACAGTGTCTATATCTTTCAGCTGAGTAGTCTCTCAAGATGAATCAACTATAAACCACAATTTTCATTATTGGTCTTAAACTATTCAAGTCATTTCAAAACGCCCCCTGCCACCACTTTCAGAAGAGTTGAACACATCCTTTGTAGAAACAGGATAAACAACTGGCACAGCAGTGGCTGAGTTTTTTTAGTGTCTTCATACAAATAAAATGAAATTAAATGAAATGAGGTATTACAAAAAAGGACCAACATTAGAATTTTAGGTTAAATTTTGTGCAAATGGCAGTTCTCAGATCTTGAGAGACTGGTCCCTGGAGGTGAACTGAGGCATTTGCAAAGGCCTAGTCTGAACTGTGGAAGAAAAGGAAAAGATTCCAGTTGTAGGGGACAAAAATAAACTACTTTCACATTTGCTGTATTTCCAGTATTTTCAGTATATAACCTTTTAAACTACATTTGACATCCTTGCTGTCCCTGGAGTCACCGTCTGAAAGAGTCGTAATTTACAGATAAGATTTCCTAGCAGTATTGCAACATTCCAAGTTAGTTACTACTTACTTGTCTCTCAGATAATGATGTCCTATTTGTCCAGAAATGTCTTCTATAGCAGAAAGAATGTGATCAAAGGCCTGGGAAAGTGAAAGCAGAATTAGTATCTTTACAGAAAGAAAAGGCATAATTAGAAAATGGCTCAATGTATGTCAGGTTAAACCAAGTGACTATGCAGAATAATTTAATTGCTGTTAAGCAAGGCTTTTTTTCCCATTTAAAGAAATACTACTATATGTTTTTCTTCAAAGGTCCTGAGCTTTCTAACCATTTCTTTACAAATTCACTAACTATTCTTGAACTACAAGGGTCTCAGCAAGAAGGTACATAAGCCCCCATTTTAACATTCAGTTTTAAGACTCTTTTTATCCCCTCATTTTACCGTCTCTATTTCTACCTTATGAAGTACATCAGCCACTAATAGTGTCAGTGATTAAATCGGTCAAAAAATTTACCTAGTGTTTCTTTTTAGACATTTCAGGATGTCATACTTCCCTCAGAGCAGAAGTAAACACCATTCTTTTGAGAAAAATCCTGTGCTCAGTATATTAGATGGCTGTTTATAACTCTTGATTCAAACCAAGGCAGCTGCAGGCAAAATTCGGTCTTTTTCTATATACAGTTGTTAACATTTAACTCTGAACATTGGAGTGATTATTGCAGAATATACAGCATGCTAGGTTTAGAACAAAACGGGTGATTTGGATCATTCCTGAATATAATATTAATTACTGCCTCAGGAGATAGCTGACATGGAAGTGGAGAATATGATATTATAAACTAATTTTTCTCCCTCGGACTCCCTGAGAGCAGACAGTGCTCCTTCTCTCTGAAGGCTGCAATTTATACAGTTTTAGGAGCACCATGCCTCTTGAAACAATATCTGCTAGAATATTCTAGGAAGTGGTGAATCAGTACATACAACTTTACAAAATGTTAGGATTAACATTACTGCTTGGCCTGCACTACTAACTGACTTGTAAATGTATAATCCATAAATGTAGACGGGCTGCATTTCTTTGCCGAGGGGAAAAATCCTGGTTTTCAAATAGTAAAATATTGGAATGTAAATTGAAAATTTGAATTGCTGGATAACAAAAGCATAACATATTTATTCAGTAGTCTGTAAGAAAATTTCTCAGAAATAAACTCTGTCCACCGCTAAGTCATTAATTCACTTCAGGTAACCTCCAACATGAAAACAGACAACATTAGAAGCTCATACAAGAACGCGTAAAAATACTCAATGCAGGATACCTGTGTAAATCTCAAAAGTTCATGAATTAAAGAAGGCTATAAAAGTTGTCTTACAAGCTTCTGTCCTTTAACCTATATTTGTATTGAAAATGGTATGTTTTCTTTTACTGAATAAAAACCTTACAAAGTTGTGTGAAAATGAGCTAGAAGAGATCACATTTCAAAACATTTTAAAAGGTTAAAGAAATGCAGGTGCACACACAGCATTCGTACTGAACTAAAACTATCAACATTCATCTGGAATTTCATTTCCACCGGGCAGCAGACTACCTTTCCATGCAATATACAGGCTACAAAGCCTGCTTTCATACCTTACCCATAAATAAATAATATTTAATAATATTATAAATAATATTTAGAAGGAAAAATAATCTTCCACACTCTTTGCCTAGCGATCTTCAATCAAACCTCCTCCTCTTTCAGATGAAGAGAAAGAAGCATATTCCAGCCATGCTGCTTCCCCAGTACTGTCAGCCCCATTGAATTCTCAAGTGAAAGACTGGAACCTTCAGTTGAGTATCCCCTCACAGGACTCAAGCCAAGGATAAATTACAGCTTACAGATAACTTTTGAAATGTTTGAAGGATTATGCACTTGAAATTTGATCCCCCCCTCCCTTCCAAAAAGAAATTTTCTCCATTCTTTTTTTTCCTCCAAAAGATACCATTGTTTTGTTTAAAAATATCTTACCCTGCCATGAAGTTTCTCATTCAGTTTTGGCTCTCTGTGTTCAGATTTCTTCACTTTCAGCCACTGTACCAGAGGCTTGATAGTCAGGCCCTAAGGATTGAAGCATGATAAATAATAAATACTTAGGAATTATCTTAGACATTTCCTGTTAGACAAATAGAGCATTTTTCTATGTTATATGGTGGTTCTCATACTTCCTCAGTTATCTCTGTCCTCTTTAGAAGATAAAATAATGTAGTACCCTCAGTTCCTATTGAAAAGGTCTGAAAAGACAGCAAACAGTGGGGGAAAAAAAATCTCCTATAAGAAAAATACGGTAGTGGAAGTGTTGAAGTGTTTCCTGTACCATTGAATGTGGTATTTTCTGCACATATTAGGAGTTGTGTTGACCACAATTAAACTTTCTATAATAAATTTGAGAAAAAAATCCAAGCTGGTATATACTGGCATATCTCCGTTTAAATTAATGTTGGTTTTTTAATCCAGAAAGTGCTATTTTGTTTGGATTCTAAATACTTTCCTGTCCCACTGCTTGCTGTTACATTTTAAAACAAGGACTTAGGCACAGGTGGATCAGTTTAATGACTGTATTTGCCCATAAAAAGGACTGTTCCCTATAGTTATTCACACGCAGTGAATGATGTTAACCTGATATTAACTTGAGCGCTATTAATACCAAGCAGCTAAGACTGAACATTTTTTAGCACAGAGGAAATTGTGTTTTGTCCCTTGTGGTGCTGTACGAAAACATAAAATAGGATCTTTGTTACTAAAATTACAAATTCAATTATGCTTTCAGTTCAGTGAAACAATACGCAACATTCAGCTGGGAACTGCTTTAAGCAGTCGGTACTTTTGGGGGACTCCTTCTCCTTGCAAGAAGCATGCTTAAAAGGTTGAATTACCTGGAAAATCACAGTAAAGAACACAACAATGATAGTTGTGCTGACAAACAGGTTTTTATTTCTCACTTTCTCGTCATCCAGAAGCGCAACCAGAGCAAAAGCAACCGCTCCACGTAGTCCACCATATGACATCACCACCTGGTCTATGATCTCCAGCTGGACCATTCTGTAGCGGTTAAGAATCCACGTCTGTAAAACTACACCTATAAAAAAAACAAACGCTAGCATGTCTAGAAATACCCTCGTGAAATGTCAATATCCCAGCCGTGTGTAACAGAAACAGTGCCACCAGTCTGCTTTCACAACAAGCTGGTGGGGTTCCTTACACCATCTGCCTACGCTGCCAAGGAGGGCAGGCCCACTTGGTACCTTCCTCTTTATGTTTAGCCAAAGGAATTAGATGAAGCTTCTCTGAGCCAGCAGCTCTTCTCCGAGTACTGGCCTCTGACATGAGCACTACAGGTGAAATTCTACTCTTTCCTTTGAATTGCAGTTGAGAAATAATAGAATTTCTAGCACACAGTCAGTGACGCAGAGGGGCTTTTAGTAGAAAGAGAAATCCGTTGAAGCAGTGTGGCCAGCAGGTCACGGGAGGTGATTCTGCCCCTCTACTCTGCACTCGTGAGACCCCACCTGGAATACTGTGTCCAGCTTTGGAGTCCTCAACACAGAAAGGACATGGACCAGCTGGAACAGGTCCAGAGGAGGGCCACAAAGATGATCAGAGGGATGGAGCACCTCTCCTATGAAGACAGGCTGAGGGAGCTGGGATTGTTCAGCCTGGAGAAGAGAAGGCTCTGGGGAGACCTTAGAGCGGCCTTTCAATACCTGAAGGGTGCCTATAGAAGGGCTGGGGAGGGACTCTTTGCCAGGAAGGGTAATGATAGGACAAGGGGAAACGGTTTTAAATTGGAAGAAAAAAAGATTCAGATTAGATATCAGGAAGAAATTTTTTACTATGAGGGTGGTGAGACACTGGAACAGGTTGCCCAGGGAAGCTGTGGCTGCCCCATCCCTGGAGGGGTTCAAGGCCAGGCTGGATGGGGCCTTGAGCAACCTGCTCTAGTGGGAGGTGTCCCTGCCCAGGGCAAGGGGGTTGGAACTAGATGATCTTTGAGGTCCCTTCCAACCCCAACCATTCTATGATTCTATGATTTAGGGAATAAGTGTTATACCCTTTACAAATCACTAAAAATAACATCTATGTCACTGTCTTCTGAAGGGTTATGCTGCTATGCTAACACTGTCTTCAGGTGAGACGGGCCCTGCTGTGGAAGACCCAAAGCTCTAAGAAATCAGGGTCTCCCTGAGAAGGAAAACAGCTTCACCGCTCCCGAGAGTGGAGCAGCACAGGTGTCCCTCACAGCAGGCCAGGACTGTTAACCAGCACACAAGAGATATTTCTTTTTTTGGAGAACTTTGAATTCGTGCTAAGGGAAGAGTGTCTTGTGTATATCACTGTAAGCAAGGCCTCTGGTGGAAGGGACTTTGAAAATTAATTCACGCCACTGATCTGGCTCTTCCAAGGGTATGAAAGCTGCAACTACATAAGCCCCGATATCATCAGGTCTTTAGTAATTTATCAATTTCTAAGCTCAATTACTTTAATGGATGCATATTGTTATTGCTGAATATTTACTATTTAATTACACTTGCTACAGGATTGTTACCCACTCATTCTAGGAATACAACAAGTGACAAAGTCAAAATACTGAAAACTTGCTTCAACACCTCATGCACATCAGCGATTACTGATGGATGGCTAAATGAACAAAGGTTACACATTATTTAGAAAGGCAGATGTGGGACCAGGCCCTTCATTCAACCCAGGAATCTCTAGACAGAATAAAAATACTGAGCCTAGGAAAACTGCCAGCTAGATAGATGTGTTACCTTTTATTTGAATTTGACTCAAGACAAACAAGCAAATAGACCCATTTCACTTATTCCCAGATGTAAGCACACACACCAAAACACTGTGTGTTACTCTCTAGAAAAACTTCATTCTGTGCTTTTTTTTTTTCCTATTTTAACCCCTTTGCTATGTCACAAAACAGTGATTAAATAGTAGAACTACATAGTTGGGCAAATCGTCATTGGTATTTTGAAATGTTTGCAAACTTATATAAGCCCAGTAAATTGACAGTAGGTAATCCCTACCTGCCACAGTCTTATTTACTCAGTTTTTCACCAGCCCCTGGGAATTATTTCTTAAGCCAGAGAACCTGTGGTGTAATTATGTATGGTCTTACATCACCGTGTGTCTCAAAGCTGAAGTCAACCATAAAATTAGCTTAAGACAATCTTTTTATTACTAAATTGAAAGAGCTGAAAGAAAGATATGGCTGACAGGGCTCACATCTTTTGTTAGGCTGCAAGTTAAAAAACAAAGTCCATTTCACTGGGAGATTTTGCCAATACCATGTGCTGTGTCAACAAAGGGTAGCCACTAGGTGATTCATGTCATCTGCTGAGCTAGTCTTACCCTCACACGTCATCAAAAGTGAAATCCTGCAATATTTTTAGCACGTGATAAAGCTTACCGTAGAGATCTAGCCTCCTAACCCAAAACCAACCCTAAATTCAACTAAAATAAATGGAATATTTTAAAACTAACAAGTCTGGAACTAAATGTTTTTTAATATATATTTTTTTAAAAGACTATGTGATTGCATCAACAATACAACGTAAGGACAGGAAGAAGATCATTCCCTTACCAATAACTCTATATACTGAGATGAAGACCAGAGTCAACAGAATAAAAGCTGTATTCCAAGTCCAGATGTCTGGATTTACAGCTGAAATTCCCAGGAACATGAAGATAATAGTTTCTGCTCCACTGGCCAACATTTTCATGGTGTATCTTACAGTTGTAGAAGACTGTTCAGAGATGTTTGCCTTGACATATTTCTGACAGCAGATGCCACAGAAAGTTATCCTAGGAAAAAAAATTATTCAGAAAATATTTGTTGTAGTATTTAATATTATTTCCATCTGTCTGTCACATAGTGATAAAACCCCACCATTAATTCCTAAAAAAAATACACTTAGGAGTCATTGTGGTCATTTTTACCTAGTCTAGTCTAGGCAAAAAACATATCTCAAACATTCATCCTGACATGACCCCAAGAAGTCTAAGACAGCATTTAATTAGATCATAACAAACCTTAATTCTCTTCAGATTACTGTACTGCTTTACATGCAAAATTTTAAATCTTGTTTACATTAGACATAATCTTAAATTACTGATCTGTTTGCAGCAAAATTTTCAGATCTTGAATATACTCACTGCAGCATCTACAAACAGGACAAGCAAAACTGAGAAGAAAGATATGTCAGGAATCAATGGATACTAGAAGAAGAAAGATCACAGAGCCAGAACAGGCAAGATTCAGGCAAACCTGAACAGGCCAGTCAAGACAGTGAGAGCAAAAAATAATGGAAATTCACATAATGCCTTAGAAAAATATTGTTTTAATTAGAAATTATAAGGAAAGATGTCATTACAAATGGACAACTGTTAGTTATTGAAGTATTATTAATCACAAAGAGGAAAGAGTCGAGTCTGTATTTTGCAAAGGAGGTTCTCGTGTTGCGTGGCAGACACTGGGAAAGTTGCATTCCTTTTCAAGGCTTAATGACAGGATTTGCAAACTATAATCTACTGCAGTGTGAAGATCGTAATATTCAGCATAAGCTTCACGACTGTCATATTCTATAGCTGTCCTATATAATATACTTCTTTCTTTTAAATGTTTTTAAAACCCATATTCCTTTCTCAGCCCCTTCACAGAGAGTAATAAAAAGAGACTTACGCAAGGATAGCAGAAAGAGAAAGCATCTCTGCTGTGAGGTAGGACAGGTAGGAAACGATAAACACAAATCCTGGCTCAATGATTCTCACGTGCTTGGTGAAACGACTGACCAACGACAGCAGGAACGCAAAGAAAACGCCAACCAGTGTCCCCCCCAAGCTCACCACAAAGAATGACACTGAAAAACAAAACCAGACACAACTTAAATGGTAGAAACATAAGGGTGTGAAGCAGTCGTCTTCTACTGCATGACCAGCAAATCAGAGAAAATTCTGGAGGACACATCAAAAATTATTTCTAAAATGCAACAAGATTAATTGCTTTGGACCGCTTGGCATGTGAATGGAGCATTCTGTAGAAAAAACAAGGTTACTTTCTGTAAAGCCTCACCATTTTAGGTGTATTCAAAACCCACTACATTTCTTTGAACAATTTTTTCCCTGTGTTCTGTAAACAAATACTTTTCCAAACCCATGTTATAGAATATGCCAAAGTCACTGGTAAAACCTTGATTCATAAGATAATGTAGTATCATGTCATGCTTGCAATGGGAAATAGTGACTAAATTTTTAGGTAAATAACATTTTTTGATTGTCACTGGCAAATGTTACTTCATGGCAATCAGTGATAAGGAGTGAGAATGCCTATATGCAATCACAACTTTCCTGGAATGCAGGAAAAGTGTAGGCTGACAGTAAGGATATGCTATAAAATACAAAGAAGAGATGCAGAGCTCTCAAGATTGGCGGTCCCAACAACTGAACTCCACATCTGTTGAGCCTCCTCAAAAGAAAACAAATCTGGTTAAGTTTCCCCAATATTCAGAAATATTCACTTTTATATATTCTTCAGACGTTCATCCGTGCCACAGGAGTGTGGGAATATGAGTGACAAGGGAAAGGGCTGAAAAATAAGAGTTACTGATAATATAATAATAATATTTTATTTAAAAGTCTGCATATATACAAATATATATATCAATGATGTGATACAGAATTCAATTCTACGCACCTATGCCTTTGACACATTCAATTCCCGTCACATTCTCTTGACCTATTGTAACAAAAGTTTCAAACACATTGTACAGCACCTGAAAAGAAAAGTAGACTAACTTAATATTTGCTCCCGAATTAAGCCTATTAAAATAGTCTCATTATGGGCCCCAACATTATGAATTCTGCAATTACATGTGACTGAGGGAAATTCTACACGGAGGGAAAAGATTCTCCAGATTTTTGAGTTTTTCAAATCGAAAAAGTGCAGTGGAGCAAGGAGAAACAAAACTTCTTTAAAAGGCAGCTTTCCATATCTTATTTCAATATGATGTCTATAAGAAGCATTGGCATATCTTAATGTTTTTTCTAAAGCACTTCTTACTCTAAAATCCAGGTGTTTGGCAGATTTATTTAATTGTCTGTATAAGATAAATAAGATATTTAATAAGACGCTAATTAGAAGATCTTGGATTGGAATAGGTTGAACATATGTAAAAGAAGTTGAACAAAGAAGAGAATAAACTATAATAATGGTACGAAAGCTTCTAAAATAATTAACTAACAGTGATAGTGCTGAAACCAAAGAATTCATCTTATTCATACCCCTGCCTGAGGAGGTTTGTATGAGCATCACTCTTGACACATGCCTGTCGAAGCTCTTCTTAATCCCTCCAGTGATGGAGGAGAGCTTTACTATGGCTTCCTCAGCTCTCCTCGTTGCAGCTAAGCTGGTTAATTCTTACCGTGTTTACCCCAGTGATGGGGTAAATTTTACACATTTACATTTAAAGAACGCTACGTCATCTGCTTTCATTTATCCTCCAGTCTGTCATTTTCAAGGCGAGAACTCCAGTTGTTTCAAACTTTTTCTTGGGCTCCACTTTCTGACTCTTGGTCATGCTTACTCTTCTCTTCTGGATTTTCTTCAACAAACAATCAAACTTTCTTTCATTTGTAGTGTGAGTGCTTATATTCATTTCACAGTAAAAAAACTCCTTTCCTTCTGAAAGCCAGTGATGTTGATCCTTGCGTTCATCATGATTTTACTTTAATATTTGTTTCTGGTAATACCCCAAAAGTACTAATGAGACTGATATCTAATGGCAATTAGGTTTCTCCAGAGGCCCTAAATGGCATTTTTAAATTCATGGGAACAGTTAGGCTGCTGCCAGTGACCTTGCAGTGCCTTGCTGCCTTGGTTACAAAAAATTTAGTCACTGAGCCTTGTAGACATGTCTTACCCTCCTCTGAAGATATGCAGGAGCAGGATCCAAGAAGAGAACTGAAGCTCTGTAGTATCTCAGTTACATATCATCTCTTTCTACCAGGATTTCCTGGTCCCTGCCCACTAGCACTGCACTACAAAACCCCTGACTATTCCATTCTGAGAAAAACTTTATGTGAAAAGAAAGGGTGTTTCAGTCAAAATTAAAACATCAGTAGAAATTTGGGATTGTTTTAATTCCTCTAAAGTCTATTAAGCTTTCCTTTCCTTTCTAAATAAAAAAAAAAGTAAACAAAAAACCAAAATAGAAATTAACACTACCAATAAAACCAAATCAAATTTTCTACCCACGGTTACTCCCAAATTGGTTTTTTGTTTTATACCTGTTTGATAAACATCTGACTGAAGTAAAAGAGAGGGAACAGGAGTAAGAGCTTTGGTGAGTATTCTCTCACTGTCTATATATCTGAGGTATGCATATAACTTATGGGGATAATGGAAATATGCAGAAGAGAGCAATGTACATTAAAAAACAATAGCAAAGAACGGCTTAAAATCCCTGGAACTAAATTCAGGAAGTCATGAAAGCTGTACTTGAACAGCAAAGGCAACTAAAACATATGCACTTGAAACTTCATCTGTGCTTGTGCTCATCCAACCCACGACTGTGTATTTTTATGTGATTTACGAGTTCCAAATAGCTTTCATGCTCAGACAATCTTTGTTTGTAAGCAAGAGAGAGAATACCACGAGCTACACTACACCAGCCCGTGAGTAGACTTGCACAGTTGATACAGTAATTCATTTACGTGAAAAATGCTCTTCAGAGGAAACCCTCTAGAATTAGGGTGACTTTGGGACATATTCTTTACTTACCACAGTTACAGCATCATTCAGAAGCGATTCGCCAAAAACAATGATGAACAGGACTTCATTGACATGAACTTCTTCAAACACTGCCAGAACAGCTACAGGATCCACAGCAGCAATTAAGCTGCCGAACAGGAGGAAGTCCAGCAGTCCACTATCCAGGTGCCCTTCAAAAGCAAAGCAAACAAAGTATAAGCAGAGTCAGCTCTCTATTATCTATACTAATGATAATCTGCGGTATTACAGACAACGCAAAATCCTTTAAAATAGGGATCCCAAGACATCAACCAGGAAGCACGGCACAGAAACTACTTCACGAGTTCTGCATTGCGTCATCTTGCATCCTACAAGGTTTGTTGGGTCCAGCATGGGCCCGTGCGGATCAAATTTGATTCTGGGAGCAGTACCCTCCCTCTCTTATGGCAAGGCACTTGAGATAAATATTTCCAGATCTAAAGTCGCTTTGTATTGGTGTGTAGCATGCTTTACCTAACTTGAGTAAATTACCTCAGGATAAATGAGAACTGACAAGATGGTAAGAGGAATATCCCGGTGTTCCTCAGGTAAATGTTCCAAAACACTTCATGCCAGAGGCAAAATTTGACTCTTGGTCACTAAGAACTCCTACAGTGGGGCTTACTGCACTCAGTGCAGTTAAACACCACTTGTGGCCTCCTTATTCAAGTAGACATTCATCTATAGGTGCAGTTAGGCCATGTATTCCCAAATTAGGATTCATGAGGCCACTGTTAAATTGTTCACAAGTGGACCATAAAAATAGATGAAGGACTAAAATGTACCTCAACATGTTTGTGTTGTAGCCCCTTAATAATTTTGGCAGTGATTTCAAAAGCTTTGGAAATACAAAATTCTGGTGGCAAAGTAACCCAGTATTTATGTAATTTTTAAAATCTTCTTTTAGTTATTAGGATTATTTTTTTTTTCATTTATGCAGACAGACTGAGACAAGCATCACTATCATTTTAAGAGTAACAGAAAAGGGAGATGGCTTTGCTCAGCTTCCTAAATATCTTGCCAAATTTACCCTCTTCGTGCAACCAAGAGTGGTATTGCAGTCACTTTTTCTGAACAGATTTTTGAAAGGGTAGACAGCAAAGTTCCCTTTGTATTTATTAATGGGTGGAGGAGAAAGCAAGGTTCATTAAAAGGTGATGAATCCCAACATTATATGAGGAAGAGCAAAGAAGGAATAAGTTGAGAGTTCATTCATTAGAACACGGTGCCCATACTCAAAATTAATAGACAGTTGTATGAGGCATGATTTCTACAGGTGAGGGAGAAATCCAACTTATTAAAAAATTTGGAAGCGCCAGTCAGCAAATGACAGTCTGTAGCTGTAGCCAAATGTTCAATATTGCCAGTAAGGTACTTTCAGAACATGGCCACTCCTCTAGCAAGAACTCTTATGAGTTAATTTTTCAAATCCAGAACGTTTAGTGCTTGGAAGGCAATTGAAACAGAAAATAGATTCCAAATATTTTTGATAAAAAATGGCATGGGCATGTTTACTCAGGAGAAGGACACGTAGGGACAGAAGTGGACAACACCCTGTTGTACGTGACAAGGGCCAATAATCTGGGGGAGCTGCAGAAATACTGGACAACACCCTGTTGTACGTGACAAGGGCAAATAACCTGGGGGAGCTGCAGAAATATATTCTCTTAGCTGCTGCCTGCCAACCAGAGCATCTACAATGTTCTCCATACAGTTTATAGGCACCTTGGTAAGGCCCTGAAAAGAGAAATTGATACTTTGCACAGACATATAACTATATTTTCCAAAAGAGAAACAGTCTTGTTCACTCTTGACCTATTGGGCTGTGAATGAGGGCTGAATCTATCCGGTTCAGAGGGATTGAAGCAGTGAGCTGAAGTCTGTGCCAAAAATTCTGAGAACAGCCTTGAACCTGAGTCTAAATAAGGGTTCCATCAAATGTTGGCTTTCTCTGCCATGCTTAAGGAGGGAACAAGCCCAATGATAATAACTATCAGATACCAGGGTACAATAGAACATCAGCTTTTAAAATGAATTGGCTCGCTGAGATTGCTTATCTTTTTTATATGTTACCAATTATAATCATTGGTACATTCTTTGAAGACTTGCAAAGCTAGTGAGCAAATATTTATGGAAAGGTTAGGACACATCCATAATTCCTACAAAGCAGTGCCAAGAGACATGATGTTTCTAAATGAGACTTTTATATAGACTAATAATGCTAATTATTTCCAAGAGATACATGACCATTGCTTCATCCAGCTCACCAGATTCTGGAGTGACTACCTCCCAGCAGTAACAGCTGAGCAAGGTGAGTTTGCTGGGACCAGTTTAAGACTTCTACACATACTCAGCCTGTTGTTGCTATGACCTAGATTGTACAGGAAAAAAATTTCTAAGCATTGGTCACAGCCACAATTATTCTAAAGAAAAGTGCTGCGTGCGTTGGTTCTCAAGGAGATGGTGAACATCTAGGCCAGGAAGATCTAGGATTAGATACTTCTTCCTATTCCGTGGCAGCAGACTGTTATGGCTGGTAGTTAATAGTTAAGGTGCTGATCTTTTAATTTCACTTTTAAGGAAAGATTTCTTTGTTATTATCACCTTCTCTCTTTCTCTCCTGCAAATTATCTCTATAAGGATATCGAATGCAAACAACAAGCTGCTTTTACGTTTAGCTTATTAGGAAATCTGTGAAATCCAGTTTGGATTATGCACTCTCATATGGATGGACACCACTACAGGCCCATTCCATGGTAAAGTTAGAAGTAATTTATTTTTAGTTCATCTTAGTCTGTAGTGGATATACATTCCTACATATGACGACATTACTTTTAGCATTATTACTCCAATTGTAGGAAAAGTGAGGTAGAAACAGTTATATGCCACAGAGCTTCAACCAGAGGCTGCTATGAGCTCTTCTGGAAATTGAGTAGCTCAGCATTCTCCTGTCTTCAGCAAGTAACAACAGCCAAGGGCCTTTCACAAAGCATGGTGCTAGATCTTGCTGACATCTTGGAGGTCAACACAATGTATTTAGTGGATTAGTAAGTATGTGTCATGTGGATATTTTAAAGTCCTACTTAGCTTTGCTGGAGAATGACATAGTTTGAATCGGGGACAGGCTTCTCTGGCCTTTTCCATAGCTGAAATTAGAACTCTAGTAGGTTATAATATGACTTGATGGTAAATACAGGTCCTCACAGTATACCAATTAATGCTCATTCTAAACATTTAAATTCAGCAGGCATGTCAGTTTATTGTTTGCCTTTGTTGACATCCCTACCTTTTTGCTTGCAGAGCTTTAGCTGTGACCTGTGGTAGGGGCTGGTTCTCCCATTTAGCTGTAAGCTCAGAGTGCTAGTATATACTATTGCTGAAAGATTTGCATAATGATGAAGTAAAACGTGTAGCCATCAAATCCAGCTTTCACAGATAGTTAATATTTTTTTATGGATTGGACAGCAAGAGGAGAGCAAGAGATAAATGAAATTTTCACTTAAAGTTTTTTTGAAAACACTTGACTTTTCCATTTCATATGTCACAAAGAGTTCAATGCTTTTACCATAATGATTTTTATCAACATATTTTTTAAAATAATTACCATTCATTATATTCCCCAGAACAGGATGATAATAAAATATTTTTTAGTCATATTTTTCACTCAGATATTGTTCCAAGCAGCTTAGATATTTAAAGAAATAAAACCTTGTCCAATCAGTTGCATTAACAATATTCTTTTGTCACCTTCTTTGTTCCTGAAAACCTGTGTTTAACTATAAATGTGAAACTGTGGGTGCAATATATTGTGCCTAGGGGCACAAAGAACATAAAACATCTTAACTTCCTATAAAAGTGAATAATGTCTGCATCTGAGCTGTCACCTTTGTATCTTCTAAAGAAAAATTGTTAGTTATAAAATGTGAGTTATAGTAATTTAAATATCTAAAATATAAGCTAAACCTATGTGCTGGTTTTGGCTGGTATAGAGTCAATTTTCTTACTAGCAGCTGCTATAGTGCTGTGTCTTGGATTTAGGATGGAAATAACGTTGACAACACATTAATATTTTAGTTGTGGCTACTTTAAATATCTAAAATATAAGCTAAACCTATGTGCTGGTTTTGGCTGGTATAGAGTCAATTTTCTTACTAGCAGCTGCTATAGTGCTGTGTCTTGGATTTAGGATGGAAATAAAATGTTGACAATATTTTAGTTGTGGCTATGCTAAATCAAGGACTTTACAGCTTCTCATACTGGCTTGCCGAGAAGAAGGTGAGGGGCAGCCAGGAACCTGGGAGGGGACACAACTGGGACAACTGACCAAAAGGATATCCCGTACCACATAACAACACATTCAGCATATAAAGTTGGGGGAAGATGGAAGAGAAAGACATTTGGAGCGATGGTGCAACTGGGACAACTGACCAAAAGGATATCCCATACCCCATAACAACATGTTCAGCATATAAAGTTGGGGGAAGATGGAAGAGAAAGACATTTGGAGCGATGGTGTTTGTCTTCCCAAGTAACAGTTACGTGTGATGGAGCCCTGCTTTCCTGGAGATGGCTGAGAACCTGCCTGTCAATGGGAAGCCGGGGATGAATTCCTTGTTTTCCTTAGTTTGCATGTGCACGTTTTGCTTTACTTAATAAACTGTCCTCATCTCAACCCATGAGTTTTCTCACTTTTATTCTTCTGACTCTCCCCTGGGCAGTGCTCAGTCACCAGCTGCAGTTAAACCACAACAGGCCATCATAGAGGTCTCTAGTACAAACATCTGTAGTTACGTAAGATGTGTCTCATATGAACAAGTCTGTGGTCTATTTCTTTCAGACTGGGATTTTCAAATAAGGTCAACACAGCTTTCTCTTAAAATGGATGGAACAGAAATCCCAATCTTACGCTCAGTTTCAAAGAATCTGCTCCAGATTCTGCTCCTTCCCTGTGCTGGACAATGGGAGCAGGTTTTGAGGCTGGAAAACTCTTGTTATCTCCTGTAATAATCAGCTAATCCTTTCATTCTTCATCACAAAAAATGTCCTCTGCAACACCTGCAACTTCTGACATTGGAGGCACTTTTTTCATCTGGACTGAAGAGGAGGTCTGTGGTAAATTTCTCAGTCAATTTTGCACCACAGTGGTTAGAGAACAGGCCCATGACTAACTGTTGAGTCCTGCATACAACACAACATACCCCTGGTGGTCTTGGAGCCACTCACCCAATCCAAAGTGGCCACACTGGCCACCAAGAGCAAATGGGCAGAGGGCACAGCACGCTGTACCTGTGCTGCCCTCAGCAGCACCCAGGTGAAAGACACCAAAAAAAAGCATAGCTAGGATGTCTGTTTCAAAATACACGCAAATCCACATAGAATGTGAATTATTGTTCTTCAGGTGGCAGTACATCTCTCCCATGCCGGCTGAGGAGATTAAGAATGGCAAGCATAGCTAGGATGTCTGTTTCAAAATACCTACAATCCACATACAATGTGAATTGTTGTTCTTCAGGTGGCAGTACATCTCTCACGTGCATGCCATGCCAGCTGAGGAGATTAAGAATGGTTGTTTTGTGCCTCTTCTAGCAGCCCCATGCCCTTATTTTGCAGTATAACTAAGACAGAGCACATCTTAAATGTGCTACTTGGCTCTTTAAGCCTTCAGTTACAATTTCCAGCCTCAGGAGATAAAATAGAGATGTGCCATGCCTACACACCCACTCAGCAACCATTACCTACTGAATATTAAAGCTGATGGAAGGAAGACAGTTCCATTTCACAATAACCTTGAAGGTTTCTATCACAGTAGAAAGAAACAACCCCTTCAGAGTGTGTTTTTGTCCAGATGTCCATCAGCAAAATGAACCCTGAGCTTTATCCTGAGAATGTATGCAAACATTTAGAGCAGGGAAATATAAGACGCTGGTTCAATTCCCTTTTGTGCTTGCTTCAGAGAAGATTTCTCAGATCATTCTTAAATTTGGTAATAGCATGACAAATTGTTGCCATTAAAATTGGATTTTTCTGCTGAAAAGAGTTGTTAAGTTGTAAAGTATCACCCATTTAACAGTCAGGATACAGTACATTCACAATTGTGCCTTCACAGACCAAACTTACCCATTATTCCTGTCAGGTAGACGCCATAGAGAGATAAACCAGTCGTGGCAGCATTCCAGATTGTCCCAATGACAGCATACAAAAGGATGGAACCAAGATTTCCAAAGAACAATCTATTTGGCATGAAATATCCAGCATCCAAAACAATGGGGGGCAGCAGATAGAAGAAAAACACATTTGGTGTAAGGGTGAAGGAAGCAATGTGGTCTGCTGCCCATACGATGCCACCAAGGATGAGACCAAGAACAATCAGTAGAGCACTCTCTGGAACCACCCGAGTGACTTTGCTGGACAAGTGGAAAACTGCAAGGAAAGAGGAAAACAATTTGTCAGAATTGCAATGGAGAAACAATTTGAGCAACAACTGTTGTTAGCTTTTTGACTTCACACAAACTTCCAGCCTTCATTGTTATTAGACCCAAAAGCATGCATGGAATGCACAGGATACATACAGTGTCAGAATCCAGTCACTTATAAAATAAAATTAAATGGTCGATTTTCAGATTTTATCCAGTGTATTTCAATTTATATGAAACCAATATTCCATTATATTTCTTTCCTTTATTGGAGTATCTTCTCCATACTTTTTAGGGAAAGACGGTGTTATGTGTAAAGCAGTAAGTGCAAGGCTGAAAAGAAATGGCAGAAGTGCTGGAAATGTATGAGTTTATGGTTTATTTCTGTATCTAACTCCCAACGTTTGACTTTAAGAATGATCAGTGTACCAGCAGGTTTATTGGAGGATGGGAGAAGAACGCTCGAAGAAGAGCAAGTTTCAAGATAATTCTTTTTAAATTCATGCAGAATTTAGATGTAGCCTGCAGCAGGAGCAGATTGGCAGTACACCCCTTTGGGGCCTTTTCCTCAAAATCTCCCTGGTAAGCAGTTCAGTTAATTCAGGGGCATTCTGGAGGAACGGGGGCTTCAGTGGTGCCTTTTTCATATATAGATATATTCATGGGAAATGGCTCAGCAACAGGTTACTTTTTTTTGTATAAACAGTGTCATACAATCTGTATCTGACAGCAGTAAGTCAAATCTATTGATAAAGGTGAATGGTAGATGGTATCCATTACAGAAAAGCTTGTAATGGTGTGGTGTGGTAAGACTATTAAGCTAGCCAATAATTAGAGGGAGAGAAAATTACAGAGTGCCATGAGTGAATCTAAAGAGACAGGAAGATGGCAAGGGCAAGACAGAAAAAATAGATTGTTCAAGATGACAGAAAGATAAGTAAGACTGCAAATATAGGTGGCAACATATATTTATAGTCCACTTGCTAAGTATGAGAAAAAAGAGAAAAAAAAAAACAACAGAGAGCAGGACAGAGAGAGGTCAAGTCTACAGGAACATGAAAAAGGAAGAGGTGGCAAGGGTGTTTGATAATAAGCACATGTGCTAATTGACTTTCTTGGGATTTTTGTGAGTTTTTCCTTCAGTTTATCTTAAATATTGATGTACCTCAGATGGTCCGAACCCTGGCACTTTGTGATAAATAAATATTGTGATAAATAAATAAATTTTACTCATGTAGCTTGATGTTGAAAATACGAGTTTAACTTTAGGAAGAAAGTTCCACTAAAAGCCACTGAGTTTCTCCTGTTTGATCATCAGCCTATTACTGTGTTGAAATTTTTATAATGCTGATGGAAGTTAGCTCAAAACTAGTTTGGACAAGAAGCCAACATTAAGAATTTCAGCCTTCTGAGGTCCAGTGTAAGAATCTTTCCCAGGACCGTGCAGATATCTTAGATGAGGTTACTTCACTGAAAGACCATTGTTTTTCCTCCTGGCCAGGTATTTGTCCTGGTCAAACATTTGCTAGTTACATTTTAGAGTGTTTTAAGGGCCCCATTCCTCAACTGTCTGTCTTCATCTTGGCTGCATCTACACAAGCAATGTTAGAAGCATCACCCATCATTACAGTAGCACCCCAAGAAGATAGTTCCTGCTAGTTGCATAACCTCCATGGCCTCATCAGAACAGAAAACATGAGAGGAAAAGTGACAGCAGCCTGCCTGTAACAACGAGCATGAATGTAGATGTTCCTAAGTGTTTGTAGATAAGATTTGAAAACTAAGCCATGCTAGAACATAGCTTCAGAGTGAGATTAATACAACAGCAATCACACATGCAAGCAAACTGCATTCAGTGAAGCTGGCTAAACCATGCCAGTTCTCTATATCATCTGTGTCGTGTAATCAATAGCTGAATAACACTTCGCAGACACAAACACTGTGTTTTTTCCCAATTAATTTCCTCTCTTTATAATAAAATCCATTGGGCTTGCGTTAATACAGTTAAGAAAAACAAACTAGCTACTATTTCATGTGTATAAATTGTAGCATTTAACTTCTCAAAAGGCTTTCCTACTGATCATTCTTAATTCCTTGAATTTCCAGTCAGTGAATTATCAACTAATTTATCACCTCACAAAGTAGGGATTATCTCCTTATCCCTGAAAATGAATGTTGCTGAGCTAGTCTTGGTAACCCATTCCTACTCTTACGTTTGCAGATAAGCTATGACTACAAGAAGTTAAAGTTAAAAATTTAAAATAAACCTATGAAGACTTCTCGGAACCAAACATCTGGAAAAAAACTGTTGTCCAGCTAAAAATTCCAATTCTGTACAATTCTTACCTTTACAACCAAACCCAATTTCTCCCAGTGAGTATTCAGAAGCCAGCCTGCTTTTGGCTATAACACTGTCTCCTCCTAGAAGTCACATGTTCCCAGTGAATCAGCTGTATCATATTTATCTGTGCTCCCTTTAAATCAAATTCACTGATTATCTGTACCAGATTTTAATACTATCAGCAACAAGTTCTTCTACTCTGTTAGTCTAGGAATGGGAATGCAGGCTGCGGACAGGAAAGTTATTGCATAAATGGGGCTCTAGAGAAATCTCTTGTCTTTTTTTTTTTTGCATTTGGCCCAACCAAAATCTGAACACCAGACCATATTTGTTTTAAGGCAACTGCCTAGCTAACTCTGCAGGCAGAGAGTATACAATGCAATTAGCAGAATCCTAGTGTTTGTAAACATAGAAATATGTAAAAGGAAAATACCAACTGATGAAATTCAAAGAAATAGCTCTAGACCAAGATGTAATTGGTCCATATTGGTTCATATTTGCACTTACAGTGATTGATATTTTTCTCCTGGCTATATAAATAAAATATATTCAATCAAGATTGTACATTATGTGTAGTTATTACATGCATAGAATTTGATAGATTAATTCCAAATTCACTCCTTAATGTTTTCTTTTTTACAATTCATTATTATGAAGTTATATCCCCAATACATTCTGTGTTACAAAGTGACATATGATAGTACATTCATATCATAAAGTTTGCCTTTACTTCCTTAGGAGAGATCCAGAAATAGTCCCTCAAAATGAATTATGTCTCTATGACAAAGTAGAATTGGAAGTCTTAATTACATTTAAATGTCTAGCATGACTAGGTATTTCACATGCCAGAAATAAAATACAATCCAGCAATAATGGACAAGGAGTTCAGTGAGATTCTGTTGTGAAAGAAATTACAACTATCAGGAAGGATGGCATGTAGTGCTGCTCAGATAAATTCCTCTGTGAGGGACCCAGAGATGAAATTAAGTCCGTTTTCACTACTGTTAATAACGCAAAGTACATGAATATATTTTAATGAGGGAAAGAACAAAGAAAAATTGTAGCCAGTCCATGGCATGAAAGAAATAACTGTACAGGGAAATCTTGTATTCTATAAATTTTAACATTTATAATTTAGAATTCATCTATGTGTGTCTAGGTACAGTATTAGTGAAAAAGTTAAACGTATGCCTTCCATCCAGTACATGCTAAACCTGGCTTTAAAGCGGGTCGGACTGACCGGTGAGTAAACTGTGTTTAAATTCAAGCTGAGCATCACTGAGTGAGAAGATTTCTACAAAGTTAAGAAACAATTACATAGTATAAACTTCCTGTGATTTTTTTTTTCTGACACTTCCTTTGAGATCCAAGAAAAGGGCCTGTGACTTTAAACATATCTGATGAGAAAGACAAAACAAATTAGGAATCTATGATGTTATGGCTCAAAAACCGAAATATACTTTTAGAAGGTGGGGTTTTTTTAATCATCTTTTAAAAACACAGTAACTTAGATTAAATCCTGCAGTGGAATTTACACCATTTAGTGGACTGTTACTTTCTAAGGCCATCTGAGACACCTTTGCAAGAAGTGATTCAGCAGAATAACTTTTTTCTCATTCAATAAAGGAAATGGCGAAAGAAAGGACTGGATAAATAGCAAGAATAATATAAACAAAATAATGTACAATTCATGCTCAAGTCACTTAATATATGTAGACATACAAAAAAACAGTTTTCTGAAGTGGGCTTTTCCCATATTATGGGAAATTATGTCCAACCACACCTGTTTTTTGCTTATCAAGAAAAACATTTCAATGACTTAGTTCTATAACTTTATGCATTGTTTCCAGCTGAAATGAACAATTCAAGATATATTTTCCACCTTCTGAAAATACAATGCTGCGAAGATAGAAATCTGAAACTACCTGTTTAATACACTATTAAATTTCAGGATTTATATGGTCAACGCCATCTCAAGTGACTTTAGCTTTGTTAATTTCGTTTAACTTTGTTAGCACAAAATCAAGCCCCGGAAACACTGAATTATTTTTTTCAGATAATATCACTGTCCCAGTAAATCACAAAACCTACTGCACATTCACAGTATGCAACGTGTCATCAGAAATATCAAGAGCTGACTTATAATAAAGCTAATAATTCTCTGCTGAAGTTTCTTTTCCATGTATCTTTGGATAAAATTCAAGGAATTACAAAATAATTTAGATTTATTAAAAGACCTTCAACCTCTTTTTTCATACTTATTTCCATAGCTCCCATGAAAACATAGATATGAATTTGCAAACATTTCTCAGCTCCTCCTACAAATGCCTGTCACAGGTGTGGGGTCTACCATATGCATTTTTGCTTGTAGGTTGAATATGCACTGATAATATGCTATTAGTCTATTTTTCAGTCTTGACTTTTTAATTTCATTTATAAAGATGAAGTTACTGTAATAAATCAAGCCATGAGTGCTTTTAATTTGAGATCCAAACCTTGATTCTCTGTAACTGGTGAGAACCCTTGCCATTGACCAAAGTGAGAGCAAAATGCTGCAAAATGCTACAGAATTCTTAACGTTTACTTTACAGAGATGCAAATAATAGTATCTCCAAGGCAGTATATAATCAGGTTCCTGTAATGGCATAACATAGAAGCTACTTAAG